TCAAGCTGTCATCTTCTCGGATTCCTAAGCTACGATTCTGGCCATTGCCATCTACTCTCAAGCCCCTAGCTCTTTGTCCATAGTGAAATGTAGATCTTTAATGACAGAGATAGGTGAAAAATATAAAACAATTGCCTTACAATGGATCCCATCCCACTGTGGTATCCCCGGTAGCAAAAAAGCTGATGCACTGGCCAAAAAAGGTTGCATTGTTAATCAAGCCCCAAATAACTTGGTTAGCTATAAATCCACTTCGTTAATGATTAATCATGCAATTAAGACAACACATATATCATTGCTAAAAGAACGGACAAAAGAAAAATCGTGGGAAAATGACATCCTTAATCTCCCCGATTTCCCAAGAGGCAGTTTTGTAGCTGCCTTTCGTCTTGCTACCAAGCACGATTGCTTATACGCCCATCGTTTCCGTCTTAAAATAGTGGATAATCCTGCCTGCCCCCTCGGCCGCAGTGGTGCGACGATGAATGCTGGACATCTTCTCAACTGTTCAATTCTCACAAAGAACTGCATCTACTCCCGATACTGGGAGGCCAGAGAACTTTTGTTCAATTTAAGTTCTTGATTTATTTTTTGTGTTTGATGTTTTGCTTTTGTTTTTGTATATTTCATATCTTTCTGTATTTGTAGTTTTCTTTTCTTTTAATCTCTGTACGGCGTTAGGATAATGTCTACATCGCCTGCTGCATTGGAATTAAAAAGATACTGGAGAAAAAACACGTGAAATTTTTTTTGTTGAGACTGAAATATTCTTGTATACAACCCATTTCTCGTCCCCAGAGATGATGAGCTTCAAAAATTGATCATTTTCTTGAACTTTGAAAAGCAAATCACAGACTTCAATTCAATGGCATTTCTTTAAGTAAGAACATTGAGGAACCCATAGGTTGAGCTTTGACGTTTCCTACTTCATGAACGGTCGAATTAGATAAATTTAATCTCTCAGAAATCTCAGGAGTTGTTATTTACCCCTTTGGATCAATTTTTGTCTTTATTGTGCCTGCATTATCTCCAATTGGCCATCCATTACGTGGTAGGATAAAATATCAAAATTGCCGGATAATTTTTAAAACCCATTTTGGCACTGACGTTCTGCCAATACATATTTTCCTTACACAGGGTATCATTTTTTTCTTGTTTGAACAGCATTTTTACTTTATCGATAATAACAAAGTATAATATGCCAAAAACGCAGCTTTTCACTTTTCATACTTAACGAGGCGCCAACCAAAAACTACAGATCAATCGAACTTTTTCAAAAGTAAGCTCAGTTGGCAAAATATATAATGATTATGCGCCTTAAG